ATTCATTCATTCATTGTATAATTTCTAATTAAATTATGGTGTTGTTATTATTATGTAATATGTTTTTATCTATATTAATCTTGCCATAAAGTAGGCACAAGTTGCTGATGTGGCAATAAATAAACAAACAAAAACAATGAGAGAACACGAACAAGCATCATTCAGCACACAAAAACCCATCACATGATTTCTGACTATTATTAATTAATTAAACGCAAATATTTGCCTGTTCAAGTTTACCTTGTTTGCATAGACTGTCATCATATTAATGAATGCTGAACATTTAATAACCCCTCTACTGTTCCTGTCTAGTTTTTGTCATCATTTCGTTTCAGCATAGGATACCACAATGTTTTGATATCATAACCAAAAAAATGATCAAGGATATTCTAATATATTGTAAGCAAGCATGATAAAAGTAAGTAATTGATTTATAAGTTGCACCAAAAATTATTATAAACACTTCATCACATTCCTGTATGACTGCATCACACACCTGTACTACTGCAACTTAGAGTTTATAAAAAGGGAAAGTATACATTTGTTGTGAAGCAAATGCATAATGGTTCATATTTACTGAACATAATGAAGATTCATTTGTGAAATGCTTGCAAGCTAATAAAATTACAGGACACTGTTTAATTACAAGTAGCAGAATATTTAAAGAAAAATATCCCGGACGAGCCCCCACTTTAGGTTACAACCCTGCTGTAGGGGGTCAAGTAAGTTACATAAATGATACAACTAAATTCTGAGAGTTGGGTCTGTTTACCCCCCCCCCCTCGTTTTAAAAAATAATAATAAATCAAAGTCTTTATCACAAAGTTTTCCCCCAAAATCCCAAATTAAACTAAAGAAGCCATACAAAATAGAAGAAATCTAAAAATACTATTGCACACAGATTATAAAATTTTTGTATGGAATTTTTGTTTATCGTATTGACACTCTGCCTCCGAAACTTTCGTCTGTCTAAAAAAATTCTAACCGTGTTAGATTTTATATGTATATTTTCCCCTGTTTCATTCATTAATTTTTTTTCTTTTTGGCTCAGTCCCTTTTAATCTGGGGTCGCCATAGTGGAATGAATATCCAACTTATTCAGCATGTTTCATGCAGCGGATGCCCTTCCAGCTGCAACCCATCACTTGGAAACACCCATACACTTTCAATCACACACGTACACTACGGACAATTTAGCCTACCGAATTCACCTATACCATGTCTTTAGAAAAACTGGAGACTTATTCAGTTTTTTACAGCCGAGAGGTGTTTTGACAGTTCGAGGCCACAGTACAAGTGAACGGAAAAATACAAAATGCTTGAGCCACAGATAACTTTATGATAAACACAGTGCACAGACCGTTGAGAACCCCTATATGCTGGATTCATTGACTGGCACATCTCTGCCCTGCTGCTATTTGGGGTGTGTATGTTCATACATTAGATGTACTGCCCATAGACAATAATCACCTCGTGGTCTGATTTGATCCATTGTTTGGATTTGTCAACACAGTGTCTATTATAATGTCTGTAGGTTCTGCCATTCTCTGTTCCGGATTTGTTTATGTACATAAATGTATGAAGTATCACAAGCAATGTATCAAAATTCCAATTATTTCCTGAAATAAACATTGCATTTGGGAATAATCCAGCGCAGCTCCTTGATAAGGTGAACTCTCAGCCTGATTTCACGAGAAAACGTAAGTATTTTACGTTTTGCCAGTTTAGTGGCTAATTTGTACGAGTTCAGTTGTACGAAAATGTACAATTTTAAAAAGGAGGCATGGCACCTAACCCCATCCCTAAACTCAACCGTCATTGGGTGATAACCAAATCGTACTAAATTGTACGAATTAGATTGTACGAATTCATACGAATTAGCCACTAAATCAAAAAGTTACAAATTGCCGTGAGATTGTGTTGGAACTCTCCTTCCTCTCTACGTATGTAGGGTTGTATTAGATGAACACAATATGTAGCCTATTCCTCTTTTTTGGAGAAGAGAGGAGAATGCATCAATGCTTGAGTTGACTCTGAAATGTTTTTTGTTTTTTTGGATTTGTTGTATCGGAATGGATTTATTAATATGCATCAAACTCAGTTTGCAAGGTTTGTGTATGTGACAAATTTTTCTCATATGAATACGGAAAAAAATGCATACAAATATTTTGAACTCCAGTGTGCAAAAACCTTTACCTTCCTTCCTGAGTGCATCAAAACAGGAAAGAAAAATGTACCCTACTGCTTCACATTGTGCATATTTACAATATGTACACTATTATTTACACTTAAACTAATAGCATAAAGTCGAAAAATGGAAGATGGTGGAATAGCAAAAACGAAAACATTACACACAAACAGAATGTGTTAGTTTGGGACACACAACCCTGTTCCGGTCTTCAAAAGATGCCCCAGTCTCTGCAGCGAATCTCGGAGCATCTCGTATACACATATAGGGTGGAGCCTAAAGATTGGGGAAGTGCAGGAGAGGGAGATACACACACCTCCAGATGCAACAACAGAAATGGTTATAAAATATAAAAAATAATAATAGGGGAACATGGATGGATATGAGCAGCAATGTGTGTGGAAAAAAGATGTGGCAAAATACAGCAACATAACACTTATCTATTCTCACATAAACTGTTAGAACTTGTCTACATTTAGGCTTTGACTGTGGTAAACCTCATTAACACTGATGCTTCTCAGAACACTGTTGCTTTATGCTGGGTTCAGACACCATAGACTGATTTTAGAACTAAATATTTGACATAACATCATGGTAAACAGCAATGTTTATATCTTAGACAGAAAGTGTATGTCATAACGGACGACTATTGATGCAGTGTAAAGAAAGCTTAAGAATGTCCTGACAGACTTGCATGTTTATTTATTTTTTTGGTCTTCCACAATAGGTACCTGTTACATGATGTTGACTAATAGGAGAACAGAAACTCTTTAGTACACAACTTTCAAACTTGCAGGAAAAAAAGAATTTGTATGAAGGATATGTGGGAGGTTTTACAAGAGAGCCAAAACAGGGTTTCTGCTGTGTTTTTAAAAATAAAAAATGTCCGAATGTCAATTTTAGGCCTTAAAAAGTCTTAAATGCACATGAAGCATTGTGTTCTAGGTCTTAAATAATTAAAAATGGGTATTATTTTTCTTTGCCTATGTAATGTTACTTCAAAAACCTCATTGAAATGCTCCCAAAGTTTTTAAAGTGTGTATTTTAAATCATTTATTCATTTTTTGTGCTAGCCCAAATATAAATTCACTACATAATTATCACAAATGAGATGTTAAATTTAATTTATAATTGTCTTAAAAGTTTTTTAAAAGTCTTATCCTATTCACACATAGGTTCTAAATACTCACAGACCCCTTGCACTTTTCTGCAAATATTGACAAAATATCCTAATCATATTTTAAGTCTCTGCTATTCCGAATATGTGTAAGAACATGTCATTTACTGTTTAAATGGCAATAGTGGTCATATTTTTTGATCTATGAGGGGTGATAGCTCAGCCATGTTAATGGAAAGAGCGGAGCTGCTGGATTTACAACATGTTAATTCATCAGCTTCTCCTGATATACATGAAAGTAAGTGGCTGTTTATTTAGGAAAAGAACAGAGCAAAGCTTTTACAGTAGTCAACAATCAAAATAAATCATAATTCTTTTTCAAAATTGTCCTAAGACAAGAATGGGTGTTGTTCAATAGTTTTAGGACAACTTTGATGAAAGGTGATGAGCACTTCAAAATTTGACTTCTGTAGTTACCTAAACAGTTTGTAGCTTATGTGAATAAAGCACAGATCATGTAAAAGAATCATTATTGTCATCTATATAGACATCAGCATGCATTTAAAAATCTTAAATGTTATGTTTTGCTAGTACTTATGTGTATTTAAATGGCAGAAACCTAATAAATGTGATTTGTTTTTTTTTTTGAAAACACTGATAAATTGAGCCTCCTTCTCTGGCTTTTTTTTCAGCCATCACATGAAAGCAGATTTGAAGTTTTACAGCTGATGACGTGACGCACTAAACGTTCAAATCACACCGGTGTGATAGTACAGGTCAGGGTTAAATTTGACTATGTGAACTATTAAAAAAAAACAACACTGTTTTAAAGGCATAGTTCAGCGAAAAGTGAAAATGACTATCAAGGGGTTTTAAACCGGTTTTAGTTTATTTTATCTGTTGGACACAAAAGAAGATATTGTAAAAATTGCTGAAAACCTGTAACCAATGACTTTCAAAGTAAGAAAAACAAACACTATGGAAGTCAATGGTTACAGGTCTTCAGCTTTCAGGATCTTAGCTGCTCATCGGGACAGGGTTTTATGTGACTGAATTATGCCTGGTTTAGACTACCCAACTTTTTTTGCCATTTTTGCAGATTCACTCTTAAATTCTTGTTGTGATGTGAAAAAAGAAACAAATCGGACTACAGATTGTTTCCCATCATCGCTTGCGGTCCTTAATGAAATGCATGATGTCATCAAGAGAGAAGAATATGACGAATTACTACTGGAAACAAGTGAAACAATGACTGTTGAAGCACAGGGTGTTCTTTTAAACAATTTACATAGTCAAACTTAACCCTCATGTATTTGATCACACAGGTGTGATTAGAATGTTCAGTGCAGTCAGTTGCTAAATTCAAATCTGCTCCCCCACGATGACTGGAAAAATGCCAGAGAAAAACGCACAATTAATCAGTGTTTTCAAAAAACAAATGACATTTATTTAGGTTTGGATCAGTTAAAGATTGAGAAAACAATGACAGAATTTCAATTAGTGGGTGACCAATTCCTTTTACTACAGGTTTCTTTTTAAATGAACACTCAAATGAGAATATTAATTTATTTACAGTCAAATTATAAATGGTAAAATTCATATCCACAGTATATGCTTCAAAAGAACCTTATAAAGATTAATGTGCTTTTTTTATGTTTTGCTATTACATTGAAATATGTTCTCTTTCTCATGTAGGCTGGTGTCGTCTATTCACGCTGTTATGGCCACTACAGTTGGCATCATCGTGGTGTCCTCGTGCAAAGACAATGTGATTATGGACCGGTAAGTGGACCAATCCTGTTCCACACCTTTCAGAGCAAACCAATTATAAGCTTTTCTGTGACAAATGATTACCTTGTTCTGTGTCATTGCTAATAAACTAAGTTTAGAAGTAAAAAAGTCCGATCACAGTACAGTCAACACACATATATGCTTACCTTGAAACTAAATATTACTGTGCCTGTCTAAACTTACCAATTTTAATTAAACACTAAATTTTAAACGTTTAGGATAAGTATGTGATAGTGATGATTTTATTTCAAAAAGATGCATTAAATTAATGCAAAAATGGCAGTAAACGTGTTTGTGGATCTATTTTACAATGTTACAAAAGTGTCTGTTTCAAATAATTGGTGTTGTTTAAAAAGCTTTTTTCATCAAAGACTCTTGAAGAAAAGTCCCATATATTCAGAAGCACAACAGCTTTTGACACTGATAATAATAAGTTTGTCTTGTACATTCTCATATTAATATGATTGCAGAAGGATCATGTGACACTGAAGAAACTTGGCTTAGTAATGGCTGCTAAAATCCAGATATGCCATGAAAGTAATAAATTACATTTTAGAGGCCATTCGATGCAGTACATGATGCTAGTTATTATTTAGTTTATTGGGTGTACTAGAATAAAACAACTCTTCTATTGTAGTTCGTCTGAGTGTTGGACTATAAAGTCCTGCCTTCCATTAAAAAAACAAAACAAAACAAAAAAAACAGTCTGACTGGCATACCTGTCAACATTGGGATGTGAGAATAAGGGATATGTCCCCCAATCACCCCCCAAAATACCCAAATTAATTTTGTAGTAAATATTACATTAAGATAAATAAATATGTTCATCTGGAGGTGTTTCATTGTAAATAAACAGTTAAATGGTCAGTAATATTTTATTATTATTATTATTTATTTATTTATTTATTTATTTTTTACAAAGGATAGAATAAATAATATACAAATGTACATTAGAAAAATCTGCAAATAAATTAGCAAACAGTTTTAACAATTTAAATTATTGGCTATTTAAAGAAACTGAATCAAGCTATCAAATCTCATTAATCTTTTCTTCACTGTATAATCTAAACATTCTGATTAAAGAGCAATGAATTAATCTTTTATTTAGTTTTATTTGTGTGATTACATTAAATAACAGGGGTGTCATTTAAAAATTGCACAGATCCAACATTATATGAAATTCGATTGCTTTCCTAACTTTTTATGCTCATTTAAGACAAAATTAGTTGTGTTTGGAAAAAAAACCCTTATCAAAATCAACATTTTTAGATATTATTATCATTATTATTATTAATTATGTGTATATGTCTTTTCAAACCGTTCAACGCACCAAAAACCTCAGACTTTTGCTCCGCTTCAAATGTCATGTACAGAATCTGTTTTTGAAAACTGCGTCTATTTATCACTATGGAGCGCGTCAGCTGACAGACATGCACTGCTACATAAACTGACTGTCTTGAGGATTGCATAGGAGGGGCAACAGCGCCTGTAATAGAAAGTAAGGGAATCCCTCTGTTTTTATATTTATTTTATAAATCCCATTTAAGAGCAAGGGGTGTCCCCTGGTGGTTCGGCGGTATGGGTTGCGTATTGGGAAGATTGGCTCTTTATTACCACCCTGCATAGAAAGTTTGAAATTATGTTCAAATATGATAGTGGGATAGAACTGTAAAATACGGGAGAATCCCTGGAAAAACAGGAGCGTTGACAGGTATGTTATGCTGATTGGCCAGCTGATCCAGTGTGTTGTAACTGGCCAAACATCACAAGTGTATGTTGGAAATGTAATTCACCTTAGCAAAATTGCATTGGATAGACATTACAGGGCTCGAAATTGTGCCCATTTTGGTCCCATATGCGGCCGAAATATTATCTATGCAACCTTTAAATATATTTAGGAACATTTGTGTGAGTGCATAAAATGCCATGCGACCGGTTTTCATTGCAAAATGCTTATCGCATGCTCAGATTTAGGAGACATTCATGCAGAATACGTCTTTGCACCTAAAAGCACCAAACAGCGCTCAGGAATGGATTTGAACAGTTGACATGTCAACTAAGCAAATCCCGTAAGGCTTGCCCCACCTTCAAGCTCTTCTGATTGGCCCACCACTGTTTTTAAACTGCAGGCAAATGGATTGGTTCATATCAGCTGTCAATCACTCAGTCAATGCCTTTCTTCAGATGAGCTATTGTTTAACTTCCCCCACCCAGAGCAAATGCGTGACAGTGGTCTGTGTTTCACAGACTTACTAGCCAATTGAGTAAGCACACTTTTGTTCCGGCCAATCAGAATTGCACAACCAAACTATGTGAAACACCCATAATAAAAAACAAACAAATGGGAAAGCGCGAACGAGTGGGATGATGGCATCTGCTGCTTCAGAAGCATTAATAGACTAATTAATGTCAAAGAAAATCAGAACGTCCGTAATATAGAACATTTTGGTTTCAAAGTCACATGCAGACACCAAGCAAAACCAGGCCATTTGTAAGGGCTGTTGCAGAATTGTTGTCACAGCATGAGGAAATATAACAACCAGCACCTAAAACATCACCACAGGTTGCTATATTAGGAGCGTCTTGCTAAAAAGCCAACTAAAAGTATTGCCAGTGACACTCAATCTCGTAGCAAACAACAGCAAAGTATAATTTCAGAGTTGTTTGCTAATAAAAGTTAATATCTTTTAAGTTCATTTTTTAAACTAACACTCACTTCATTTTAGCAGTAAGAAGCTACAATACAGATTATTGAGCTGAAGCTTGACTATAAAATTCAATCGCAAATCAAATCAAAATCGCAATATCTGTGAAAAAAACCCCAGTTAATTTTCCACAAACCGCACAACCCTAAACGAGAGAATGAAATAAAACTGACAGATTTAGTTTTAGAAACCACCTAAAGTTACAAATAACGGCACATTTTATTAGTGATCATGTAGTGGATGGTAAACCACCGTTTGTACTTTTCGAAGAGTGGATAAAAGACTGCTAAGGGGTTAAAGTCCGCTATGAGAATGACTAAAGCCATTGACTGTAAAGTTTGTGGGACGGAGTTTTCAGGTAACGGTGTTTGCCTCATCTACACATATTAAACATAGAATGTTCTATTTAATCCTTCATTTCGGCTGCATTAACACTGCAGATCTTGATGGTCAAATCCGATTTTTTTTTTGATGACTGGCTTATATCATTTTTTAAAAGTGACTCGAATCCGATTGTCTGTATTTACATAGCAGACGGCAAGGGTGCAAGGACCAGGAAAAAAAGAGCAGATACTGACTGGCAGCTAATAATAAAAGAGCACCCGTTTCTCCGTTCCTGTATTTAATCTTTTCGCAGGGTTTATTTATTTTTTTATTCTTTTAGACTGGTTGTTTTACTATAGTTTGACAGAAAAGTTATCATTTGGCCATTTTATTTTAATATAGGCTTTTTTTAAACCAATAGGCATATTAATGTCATGTCCATGACGTGATTTATGCACGTGGTGTATGCAACGGTTTTATATTAGTTTAGATTGTTTATATGGTTCCGCTCTCTCAGTCTCTCTCGTTAACATTCTTAAATACTTGTGCTCGAGGACAATATAAAAGCTGTTTAAGTCCTCCTGTATGAGATTTAAAGTTTGGGATTCTGCTGAAATCTGATCTGAAATAAAAGGGTCAGAGTTGACGTCATTCGCTATGGTTTTTAATGATGTTCAACTCGCATTGACAGGTGAAAATCTGATCTACATGTAGTCATTTACTAGACGCTTTTATCCAAAGCGACTTACAAATGAGGACAAGGAAGCAATTTACACAACTATAAGAGCAACAATGAATAAGTGCTGCAGGCAAGTGTCAGGTATGTAAAGAAAGTGTAAGAAGCAAAACATTAGTAATTTATTTATTTATTTATTTTTGGTAGTAGTTAGTGGTGGAGCCAGAGAGGGAATTGCAGATTAGTGAAGAAAGTGGAGACTAAATAGTTGAGTTTTTAGTCGTTTCTTGAAGACAGCGAGTGACTCTGCCGTTCTGATGCAGTTAAGGAGTTCATTCCACCAACTGGGCAAATTGAATACGAGAGTTTGGGAAAGTGATTTCTTCCCTCTATGGGATGGAACCATGAGGCGACGTTCATTCACAGAACGCAAGTTTCTGGAGGGCACATAGATCTGCAGAAGTGAGAGTAGATAAGAAGACACAATATATATATATATATATATATATATATATATATATATATATATATATATATATATATATATATATATATATATAAATAATATCATACATATCATGTATGTATGATATGATATGATATCATGTATGGGTGTTTCCCAGTATTGAGTTGCAGCTGGAAGGGCATTCGCTGTGTAAAACACATGCCGTATAAGTTGGTGGTTCATTCCACTGTGGCGACCCCTGAATAAACTAAGGGTCTAAGGCGAAGGAAAATAAATGAATGGATAGTATTCAGCTTAAAGTGACATTTTAAAGGCTTAACTACGTTAATTAGGTTAACTAGGAAAGTTAGGGTACTTGGGCAAGTAATTGTATAACAGGGGTTTATTCTGTAGACAATCTAAAACAACTCATGCTTAAGGGACCAATAATATTGACCTTAAAATTGCTTTTATTTGAAAATAAAACGAATAAGACTTTCTCCAGAAGAAAAAATATAATTGGAAATACTGTGAAAAATTCCTTGCTCTGCTAAACATCACTTGGGAAATATTTGAAAAAATCACAGAAGAGCTAATCATTCTGACTTCAACTGCATATGATGATCAAAAGTGGTGCAGTGTTGCTTTAAAAGGGCGGTCCATCAGACCCTACCTGCCGATATCTGTGTATATCTCAGCGGCCAATCCCAGCAGCCGTAGAGCATCAGCGATTACCTCTATTCCCACGCCACATCTGCTAACCCCTTTGGCTCCGCCTCCTCCCCAAGGGCACAGGAGGAAGAGATTAGGCACACGGGATCCCAGGGCAACAGCTGTTACC